AAGGGCTCGTAAAGTTTTCCCTCCGAGGGGCAGAAGTTGGCGCATTGAGTGAGGCTGTAACCAAAACAGGAGCGCTTCCCGGGCTCGCTCGGTGCCAGCTGCGGGTCGGTCCTAAAGCCGGGAGGGAGCCGGGGGTGGCACGCACCTGGCAGCGAGGGGTGGGGGCAGCTCCACGCTTGTCCTCACTTGGAGGTAAAGTGCGGTTTTACTTTATGTATGTCTTCTGGAAATAGGCTTTATGGATGTCCGCATTTCCTCCAGGTCTCGAGGAGCAGAAGAGTGGAGGAAACAAATCCTAAAAGCAAAAGGGATGCGGGGCAGGTTTGCTCGCTCTACCCTTCCTTTCTCCTCCCCCAACTCCAGGCACGGCTGCAACAAGCCCGTCCAGGGCAGAGGGGTGCCGGAAGCAGCCCCGTTCCCTTGTCACACCCCAACCCAAGCTGGGGGGGTTCAGATTTTTAATGTGTCCTTCAGGTTTTTCTTGTCCACACACGCAGGCCTAAGCCCTTAGAGGGATGCCAGGGAGCGGCCACGCTCCCTCCTGAAAAGGCTCTCTCGGGTCATCTTGGGGCAGAGGACAGCAGATAGACACATGGGAAGCACTGATGGCATTATTTATAGCACCATCTCTTTGCTCCGATTAAGCGCCGTCTAAATATGAATTCACAATATGGACAGCTAGTCTGTAATTTGAATTAAAATCCCCCCAACGAGCCCGTCACTTGAGAATTCTGAAATCACAAGCCTAAGTTGTCACAATGAGCCCATGGTGTCAATAAACCATGGACGAGATGGAGAGATTGTCACTCCAGACCATAACAGTTCTGAAAGTGTCATTACCGTCTGTCCTGTCAATGAGCTCCAAATTAAGGACTATGAGGAACAGCGAGATAAAAGTCACCGTCTTGGCTCCATTATGGGCGATGGTGTCAGTGATCTGAGAGTCACGGGGAAGAGATTGCTTTTTTCTTTCTTTCTTTTTCTTTATTATTTTTTTTTTTTAATGTACTTTTCAAACCGTGCCTCGGGATTCCAGGGTTTGAGGTGCAACCTTGAAGCACCCCAGGCTGTGCCTCAGGCGTTCCCATTGAATCCGCAAGAGCTTCTTTGGGAAACGTCGCAAATTCAATGCAGGAGTCGGAATAATTCTATCAAAACTGCTCCGGGGCCAAAGAGGACTTCATTTGATTTGGGCGACACGTGTGATCCCATGCACAGACGCGTTTCTACACCTTCTTTTTTTTTTCTTTAGTCAATAGAAAGATGGTGAGGGGGAGAGGGAAATAAAATAGAAACCTCAGCTTTGGTAAAAGACAATGGATTTCTGTGCAAGATGGCCCCTTCCAGGCATTAAAACTTTCAGAAAAAGGTCCCAATCTCTTCTTCCTGCGCCTCTGAGAGAGTTGAGGGGACTTATTCAGAAACTGGAAACCTTCAGCTCTGGATTTTTGTGCCTTTGTGGGTTTAGGCAAAGCAGTTAGCGTTCTTCAGGAGGGGTTTTGTGTTTAATATACATGAGTTCATTCAACTACAATGGGAAAAGAAAACTCATTTGTTCTTATAAAACTAGGAAGGAAAGATAACTTGAAGTGGAGTGCCCAGAAGGGCCGCTCAGGGCTGCCATGCCTGCACAGGGCCTGCGCCCAGCGGCCGCTCACCCCATGGCACGCGGCAATTCCCGACCTCCGCCTCACCGCTGCTGCTTGGTTTTCTGTTTTATTTTTAAGGTAAAACAGTAATAATAACGGCTTCCATTCCGGGATGGAGGGCCGGGGAGGGGTATTTAGATGCGGGGAAGAGTCACCCAGAGTTGGAGGGCTGTTTCTGGAGCCCTGGGAGCAGAGCAGGTTTGGACACACGGCCTCTCCGCTTGCTGGAAGCCTTCTGAAAGCGACTTGGAGCGCCGGTGTGTGTGCCTGAGCCGGCTTTGCTGATATTTATTGTGTACATTCGACTCGTCCCATCATCTCAGCTTTATGGTTAATTTTTTTTAATTTCTCTTGTGGTCCCACGGAGGAAAGTTGGAGCCGCTCCCTCTTACTTTCTTTTCGATTCTTAATTTTTTTCTTTAACGCTGTGTTGGTGCTTTTTTTTTTCCTTAACGCCACTCAAAGTAGCAGCAGAGCTGCTGGAGGCGGGCGGTGCCCGAGGGGCGGCTCGGAGCGAACCGCCGGCACCCTCCTATCCCAGGAGCTCAGCCGGGCCCGGAGCTCGGCGCGGGGCGGTTGCGGGGCGGTTGCGGGGCCACGGGCCGCTCGCACGTGTGCTCGCCCGGCTGTTCCATTAGGGAGAAGGGGGATGAAAGGGGACGCCGGGAGCAACGCGGAGCTCCCTCCGCATTCCCCAGCTTTCAAGGGTCCTTAGAGCCCTTGAATGAAATTATTGGGCGAAATTGGGGCTGGACGCAGGTTTGTGCCTCACCCCCCTCGATCGTTTGTACGTGTAATGCCACTTCTGAGAGCGACAATCGGGCTACTTGCTGGACAGGCAGGGACAAAAAGCAGATTAAACCGTTTTAAATAATAATAAAATATCCCAAACGCAAGCAGAGTGGATTACACTTGCTCCAGCGCCTCGCTCCCCCCCGCGTTCCCCCAGCGGCCGCCCGCGCCCTCCGGGCCGCTCCGAGCGGGTGGCCCCGGGCCGGCGGGGTGCGGGGCCCGGCGGGGTGCGGGCCGGCCCTGAGCTCGGCCCCTACTTCTAAAGTTTGGTGGAGCTTTTTTTCTTCTTCTTTTTCTTTTATTGTCCCCCCTTTTAAGTACCCTCAGGTTGTCGCTGGGTCTGTCCGTCACCGTCGTGGAATTATTTGCTGGAGAAAATGTGGCGTTTTCGTCATTTGAGGAGCGTGAAGGAGGCTGAAGCCCCCCCTGCCCTGCCTTTCCGTGGGCTCGGACCCACTCGAAATGGTTTCAGTGAATTGCGGGGGGCACTCGGGTTGTTCCTCCCACCCTCGATATCTTCGGCTCTGCAGAAGGAGAGGGGGGAGAAGAAATTTCTCTGTACATTTTCGTCTTCGGCATTTTTATTTTTTTTTTTTAACGTAATGAAATTAAAACTTTTGGAGCTCACAGTTGACATTTTGCGGAAAATTGAGTTATCAAGGCAGTAATTATTTCACAGGGAGATAAAACTCTCATAGCCCTAACTGTCAAATAGGGCCCTTTTCAGATTTTAATTACAAAATAAAATTAGTCTGCTCTTCCTCGGAAGGGTTTGTGAGTGGCTAAACAGAGCTTTCCCCAATACTGGTGGTCGTCAAACTCTGCTAATTAGCAATGCTGAGAAATTCCAGTTAACAAGGACATTCTCTAAGTCTCTGCAGGTTCCCTGCCGTTCGCCTTCATTTCCATAAGAAGATTAAGAGTGGAGGGGAACACACTCAAATGCAGATGCAGAAAAGAAGCGTTTTTAACAAGCATCATAATAGTAAGATGCTTGGCTAGTTCTCACCTAATTACTGCAAGTTAAACCTCTATTTGCAGCTAAGGACAAAAAATGGAGCTGCAATCTTCCATCTCCACAAGACCGCTTAATAGTTTGCTTAGATTGGTTACTGGCAGGTTCGGAAAAATAATATGAAAACGCGTATATTCTTTCCGATACAGTTAACACGATAGGCTGTATCCTCGGGGCTCAGAGAGAATCGGCGATTATTAGCACAGTAAATACACAAAATCCAAGTCGTTAACGTTCATTTTCTTTTAAAGAAACGCATAACCTGGAAATAAGAGTGCGTGTGCCGCAGAGCCCATCAGCGAGGACATTTGCGGACTATTTGCTTAATGCGACCACTTCGCATTTCCATAAATGATACCGAAGGGAGCGGTTTGATAAATCCGCTCGTGCTGAAGCAGCCCCGCTCTGCTCCCCCAGCGCCGTGCGCGGAGCCGCGGGGTCCGGCCGTGTTCATCCAGGCACCCACCGCCCCCAGCGCAGCAGGCAGCGCCTCGGGGAGCCGCACGGCCCGCACCTCGTTTTCTAGAGCGCGCTATGATGTGGATGCGCCAGATACAGTTGATGGCGTCGATAATTAAAGCGGTTAGTTCAAACGAAGCTGTAAATACCGCCCGATAACGCAGTTGTTGGGCATTTCCCACCCTTTATGGGTGCGATAAACGCGGTGAGGAAGGGGCCCGGCCCCGCGCAGGGCCGCGCTCCGGTATCCGCTTGTTACACCACCGCCGCCCACTCCTCCCCGCTTTTCAAACTTCATTATCCCCAAGATTGTATTATTATCATTATGATTTGGGATGTTGTTATCAACCGCAGGCCCCGGGCACGATCGATAAGAAAGCTTTCGGCGGCCCTGGGAGCGCGGGGCCGGCCGGGCCGCGCAGAAATCGCGCATCAGCCGATGTGCGCATCCCGCAACGCGCGCCCCTTTTCCGACGCTTTCAACCCGTCGCTTCTCTCCAGGTTATATATACACTGGGTTGTATATACGCCTCGGAATTACACGCATTAAAGCCGATAGCATTTATTTGCATCATCCAGAGATGCACCCTCACCCGCCGCACTTTTCCTGCGCGTTACCCGGACGGGGGAGGGGGGGAGCACGGCCGCTCCCTTCCCCCCGCCCCGGTTCCCGCCGCTCCGCACCGCGCCAGCAGGGGGCGCCGCAGTGCCGCGGCTGAGCCCTCGCGGGGCGCCCGGCCGCTGCCCCGGCCCCAACCCGGTGCCGCGCTGCTCGGGGGGCCCTTCTCGGGGGGCCTCGGCGCTGCCGGGGAGCGCGGCCGCGGGCAAAGCAGCGCCGTCGGGGCGCGGCAGCGCGCGTAGAGCGGGGCCGGCAAGCGCCCCCCCCCCAACCCCCCCTTCTCTCCCCTCCTTCCTTTGTCGTCAAGTGCGTTTTAGCAACAAAGATCCCAACAAGAGAGTGGAAGTAAACTTAGCCGGGGCTTTGTGCGGCCCCGTGTAGCGACAACAAGAGAAACAAAACTACCTATTTGTCCCTGCGGGCCGCCCCCCCCCACCCCCGCCCGGCGCGCCCACCCAGCGTCGTACAGAGGGCGCGTCCCCGGGCTGCAGGCCGCGCACCGCGTTCTGCGGGGAGGGCCGTCGGGGGTCCTCCGCTCCTGCTTCCAGCGGGCACCTCCGGGTCGGAAGGAGGGAGAGAGAAGGGCACGGCACGGCCCCGTTCCGCGCGGGGCCCGCTCGGCTCCTTTCGGCGGCGCGGCCCCGGGTCGGAGGCTCCGCTCCCCGCGGACGGGGCGCCGCACACGCAGCCGGACGCACGGGGGACACTTCGCAACGGGGCGCGGGGTCGGGGGGAAGCCATTCCCGCTCCCCCTATGGCTTCTCCCAACATCAACTTTAAAAAACAACAACAACAACAACAACGTAGCAACAATGCTGTTTACCCACTTCCTCCAAAAGGCGTGTGTGACCTGTTGCTGGAAGGGGAGATACAAAGGCTTCCCAGTGGCTGCCTGGGCCGGCCCTGGGCCCGCCCCCCCCGCCGCGCCGTCCCGGCGGCTGAGAGCCCCCGCCCCGTTTCATGCAAAACCAGGGGTAGAGACTTGTCCTCAGTGGCGGAGCCGCCGAGCGCTGATTGGCCGGGGCGAACGCATTTATTCCCTGACAAGCCCCCATCACATGGATGGTTGTCTATTAACTTGTTCAAAAAAGTATCAGGAGTTGTCAAGGCAGAGAGAGAGAGTGTGTGTGTTTGCAAAAGGGGGTAAAGTAGTTTGCTGGCTCTTTAAGACCGAGGTGGAGAGAGAGAGAGAGGGAGAGAGAGAGAGGGCGGCAGGCAGAGAAAAGGGAAAAAGGAGGAAGAAGTTTTTTAAATCCGAAGCTCCGGCGGTAATAATAGCAGTTATTAGCATTATTAATCCATCAGCGAAGAGGAAGATTCTGATCTCGATCCAAGTGTGGTTTTGGGGAGTCCCCCTCCCCCCTTTCATACCCCTCCCTAGGAAAAAAAAAAAAAAAAAAGTCCGGCTTGGGACTTCGCCGCCGCCGCTCCGCTTCTCCGCTCCGGGCTGGTTCCAGGCAAAAGTAGTTTGAATGTACAACATGATGGAAACCGAGCTGAAACCTCCCGCCCCCCAGCAAACTTCGGGGGGAGGCACAGGCAACTCCAACTCGGCCGCGAACAACCAGAAGAACAGCCCGGACCGGGTCAAGCGCCCCATGAACGCCTTCATGGTTTGGTCCCGCGGGCAGCGGCGGAAAATGGCCCAGGAGAACCCGAAGATGCACAACTCAGAGATCAGCAAACGGCTCGGGGCCGAGTGGAAACTTTTATCCGAGGCGGAGAAGAGACCCTTCATTGACGAAGCCAAACGGCTCCGAGCTCTGCACATGAAGGAGCACCCGGATTATAAATACCGACCCCGGAGGAAAACCAAGACCCTGATGAAGAAGGATAAGTACACGTTGCCAGGGGGCTTACTGGCGCCGGGCACCAATACCATGACGACCGGGGTAGGGGTTGGGGCCACCTTGGGAGCTGGGGTGAACCAGAGGATGGACAGTTACGCGCACATGAACGGCTGGACCAACGGAGGCTATGGGATGATGCAAGAGCAGCTCGGCTACCCGCAGCACCCGGGCTTGAACGCGCACAACGCGGCGCAGATGCAGCCCATGCACCGCTACGACGTGAGCGCCCTGCAGTACAACTCCATGACCAGCTCGCAGACGTACATGAACGGATCGCCTACCTACAGCATGTCGTACTCCCAGCAAGGGACCCCGGGCATGGCCCTGGGCTCCATGGGCTCGGTGGTCAAGACGGAATCCAGCTCCAGTCCCCCCGTAGTCACCTCCTCGTCTCATTCGAGGGCTCCTTGCCAAGCCGGGGACCTTCGGGACATGATCAGCATGTATCTACCAGGTGCTGAAGTACCAGAACCAGCTGCCCCAAGCAGACTTCATATGTCCCAACACTACCAGAGTGCACCTGTTCCTGGCACAGCCATTAATGGCACACTCCCTCTATCACATATGTAAGACAAAGGGGCCGGGGGGGCGGGGGTGGGGGGGAAGGAGAACTAAACAAAACAAACAAACAACAACAACAAAAAACTTTTATTAGAAATTCTGGACTTTTTTTTTTTTTTTTTTTT